TAGTCTACACCCATCTATTTCAGCTGTTTCTGTTTACTCACCACCAGTAATGATTTTTTTTAAAGAAACTTTTACCTTCATTCGAGTATCACTCCAAATTTTGTTTGCAGATGTCCAAACACTTCTGTTGATGCTCTTCCATGAGTTAGTTTGGTACCCATCTCACACAAACTTTTTGAAACTCAAGTCCGTTGTGGATTATTTCATAGGCAATGCCATGACTGATTTGCAAATGATTTGCCACATCATCCACTGCCACTCATCTATTCAACTAAATCATTATCATTTCATGTATATGATCAATGCTGTTACCAGCCATGACGTGAGTTTTACTATAACCAGAGTGTAGATAAATTTTAGACTCACTCTTGTACATAAATAGCATTCTTTTAAATTTCTTAAAGTAGTTCTGATGCCATTTCTGGTACTGTATTTTCTGAATCTGTATTTTGGTCATTTATTTGAGGCAGTGTCTTGGTTCTTCATGTAAACTGAAATTGTCTGTTTTCTCTGAGCCATTGTATGTTGGTGTGTTTTCAGGCACTCACTATCTGTCTCCTGGTAGATGTGGTAAAGACTGAAATTGTGATCACAGTTCTCTGCTCATTGTGTGCACAGCATAGTTCAGGGCAAATTCACACACCTCCAGAAACAAGAGTTCTATGCCTGGAGGCCAACCCCGGGTAGAGCTAAGGTTGTGCTAAGGTTGTGCAAGGTTGTGTAGGAAGGGTGCCTCTGGCCACTGGGTTGTTGAGGGTGGGGGCTGGCTCTGCCCCAGGCTACCAGGGGAGCATGGGAACAAGGGAGAATTGCACCTCCTTGGCATCAACCTCCAGCCACACCCTGTGCCTGCAAGCCACAGTATCAACTGTTGTTGTTGTTCAGTGCCACCCAGTCGGTTCCGACCCATAGAGAACCTGTATAGGTTTCTGAGGAGCAGTTGATGCGGACCTTGCAGTTCAAATGACTTTGCAGTCTAGCTTATTAACCCTCAGCGCCACACCAGGACTCCACTCAAAACAGCTCTAGATGGCTGCACCGCTCCACACCAGCTTCTCTGTTACTGCTTCTCTTCAGTTCCTCTTGGTTGCTGAGGGTCACTCAGTGCAGCTTCTACTCTGCCATCTTGCCCCTCATCCCACATGCCAATTCTTAATGGATGTTTCTGCTCATTTTGAGTAGTGCCACATCAGCAAATGAAGGTCTAGAAAGCTTTACTCTTCACATCATCAAGGTCACCACTACTTTGAATGTCTTCCAACCTGAGGGGCTTATCTTTCAGTACTGTATCAGACAGTGTTCCATTGCTATTCATACAGTTTTCACAGACGGTTTTTTCATAAGTGGATTACTGGGTGCATCTTCCTAGTTCATATTAGTCCGGAAGCTCCACTGAAACCTATCCATCATGGGTGACCCTGCTGGGATTTGATATACTAGTGACATAGCATCCAGCATCACAGCAATACACATGCCACCACATTACATCAAACTAACAGGTGAGTGATGGTGAACAATACTACAACGTCATTGAAAGATGAAGCAATTTAGTGCCAATTCTCTCCAATTTAACCTTTATATTACCTGGAACACCAATAATAATTTCAATAAAGTTTTTTGAAAAACTAAAACATTTGACTCTAGAAGTTATGCAAGTATGAAAGAGCAAAGGACAAAGAATATACCAGACATTCCTAAAGATTACTTAATTTTTCATAAAAATTCAGATACAGAGCCATGGTGTCACAGTAGATAAAACATTGTGATCCTAACTGACTACTGGCAGTTCAAACCCACCAGCTGATCCTTGAGAAAAAGATGTGGCAGTCAGTTTCCATGAAGATTACAGCCTTGAAAACTTCATAAGGCAGTTCTATTCTGTCCTGTAGGGTCACTGTGAATCTAAATTAACTTAATGTGAATGGGATAAATGGCATAGTGTGATACTGGCACAAGAATAAACCATTTGCCTTAGAAGCAAAACAGAGTCTAGACACCAATCAATCCATGCATATTTAGAAACTTTATTTTATAGATAATGGTAGCACTAGGTTAATAAGGAAAAGATGAATCATTCAATAAGCAGTCATTCAAATGCAGAGACAGACAGATACTGAATTGGATAGTGTATATCACACCAACCACACAAAGAAATCTGTTTCAGATGAATTAAAGGCATATGTGAAAATAGCATCTTTAAAACTTGAAAAATGGAGAAAATTATTGCAACCTTGTGGCAAGCAAGGTTAAAAAAAACCAAACAACAACATAAAAAATACTAACCATAAATGAGAAAGGCTAATAAATGTAACAAAAGTCAAGCTATGTATAAAATGTAATATTTTTCCTAACAAGAAAACAATGAGAAACAGACTAAAAAAAACTGTCTAAGGAAGTACATTTTGTTACAAAGTCAATGTTGCTGTTGTTATGTGTCACCAAGTCAGTTCTGACTAATAGTGACCCTACATAGGGTCTCCGAGGAGTGGCTGGTGTTTTTGAACCACTGACTTTGCAATTCAAAGACTTTCTGGGCCAGTGTTTATGAATCTGAGAAATTAGTGTTATGTTACAAAGAAGTTCCCACTTGACTCTGGGGTCTGAATAATTGCACAGAGCTCATGACACTGAAAGTACAAATAGCCGCAAGGTCAGCAGTTCGAAACTACCAGCGGTTCTGTGGGAGAAAGATGAGGCGGTCTGCTCCTGTAAAGATTTATAGCCTCGGAAACCCTGTACAGGGGTCGCTATGAGTTGGAACCACGCCACATAACAACAACAATGTAGGTAAAGGAGTCCTGGTGTGGTGCTGTGGACTAATGCGTCAGACTGCAAAGTAGTTTGAACTACAAGGTCAGTGGTTCAAACTCACCAGCTGCTCCATGGAACCCCTACACATGGTCGCTATAGGTCAGAATCAACTCATGGCACTTCACAACAACAACATGTAGGTAAAAGGAAAATGATGTCTACTTCAACAGAAAAGCTTCTAAACCTCTGTAAAAGGCTAATTATCAAAAAATGACCAACTTTATTCAGCAAGTATACATAATATAATCACTAATTTAGGGTAAGTAACAAGTTAGAGGCATCCTTACTTCTCTTCTTCCTTAACTTTCTTTTTGTCATTTTCTCTCTATCTCCAACTCTTTCATTCCCCTCCAACTATCCTTTGGAGTCCTGGTGTGGTGCTGTAGGATAAGCACTAGATCGTCAGGTTGGTTTGAACTACAGAGTCGGCAGTTCAAACTCACCAGCTGGTTCTCAGAAACCCTATGCAAGGTTGCTATTAGTTGGAACCGACTTGAAGGCACTTTACAACAATAACAACAGTGTTCCTTTATATAGCATGAATATTCAATCTGAAAACCACAAAACACTATTTTTACTTAGGAGCCTTGGTGGCACAGTGGGTTAAGTGTTGGGCTACTAACTGTAAGGTCAGCTCTGCGCTCATAAGGATTTACAGCCTCAGTAACCCTAATAAGTAGTTCTACTCTGTCCTATAAGGAGCTCTGGTAGCGTAGTGGTTACGAATCGGGCTGCGAACCTTAAGGTCAGCGGTTCGAAACTACCAGCCGCTCCGCGGGAGAAAGATGAGGCTTTCTACTCCCGTAAGGATTTACACCCTCGGAAACCCTGTACAGGGTCGTTATGGGTCGGAACCGACTCGATGGCACTTAACAACAACAACAACAACTCTGTCCTATAAGGAGCTATGGTAGCGCAGCGGTTATGAGTCAGGCTGCTAATCTCATGGTCAGCAGTTTGAAACTACCAGCAGTTCTGTAAGAGAAAGATGAAGCTTTCTGCTGCCATACAGATTTATAGCCTTGGAAACCCTATAGAGGGTCGCTGAGTCGGAATCAACTCCATGGCACATCACCACCACCACCCTGTCCTATAGGGTTGCTATGACGTAGAATGAACTCACAGCAGTGAGTCTGGCATTCTTACTTTAGTTTCTATTCTTCAGTTTTTTTCTCAATACAGTTGCCTCTCATTTGTAGTGTCTGCTTCTAGAAAAAACTCACACATGAAAAAAGGGCACACAGAAAAAACCCCGACTGTGACAAATGCACAAAAAAACCGATCACAAGGACAACTGCTAACTCTAACCCTACCCATAATCCTAATTAGTGTACGGGTTTATTCCAGGTGGGCTTTTCGTATGGGCTTTTTCATGTGTGCATTTTTCTGATTATTGTTTTGTCTATCTATTGTTGTTAAGTGCTGTCGAGTCAGTTCCAACTCAGAGCAACCCTGTATAAGGTTTCTGAGGAAGTTTTAACCTCTTCAGGAGTTCAGTGCTTATCCTATATGAGGGGGCTTCAAAAAAATTGTCGGAAAATTCCATTATCTTTAATTCAATTTTCCACAAACTTTTTGAAGCTGCCTTGCACTTATTTTTTTTTAATCCCTATGGACATTACTAAGGAGCTCTGGTAGCACAGTGGTTACGAATCGGGCTGCTAACCTCAAGGTCAGCAGTTCGAAACTACCAGCTGTTCCGCAGGAGAAAGATGAGGCTTTCTGCTCCCGTAAAGATTTACAGCCTCGGAAACCCTGTTCAGGGTCTCTATGAGTCCAAACTGACTCTATGGTACTTAACAACAACAACAACAGACATTACTGCTGTAGAGAACAGATTACGTCTACCATTGATTGAAGGAACCCTGCTCAAACCAGTACAATAATCACTCTTCAATATATTAATGTTTCTATTGGCAAATACTAAATTACTTAGGCTTCAGGACTAGGAGCTAGATTTTCACAGGTATTTATAAGTCAGAATCAACTCCACAGATTTGGCTTTTTAATTAACTAATTTTTAAAGAGATAAAATCTTCAAGTCTAAGTTCTCAAAAAGTAAAGGGGAAAAAAGAAACACAAAAACCCAGAAGATTAAATTTTCATGTTTGGTGACATTTGGTTTGGTCTTGACCTTAACTTAGCAAGGTCTCCATTTCAGTAGAATCCAAGTTCAGGTCTATACTTACACTATATGTGCAAGGTCAAGTGGTTTCTCTGGTTGCTCAGGAAAAACAGGATGTGAGGGTTCTCTGGTGGGTACGCACCCCAAAGATTTACTAAGTGCATGGCTCAGCTTCTTTGCAGGGGATTTCTGTATCAAAGTAGAAAATAAAGAAAAACAGAATTAAATCTTCAAAGCAGTTAAACTTGATGGCAAGGGCTGCAGAAAATGTCATTTCAGATACAAATCAAGGTGAATCCTAATCAACATTAGTAAGCACTGCAGGAAGGAACCTACAGTTGTACCAGAGTCATTTGTGGTCCCTGCATTTCTGTGGTTCCTCCCTTATGTCTATGAAGTCACACTACAAGTTAATGTTGAATCAACCTCCTCTTTTGATGTTTCTGGATTGGTATTAAATTTCCCAATCAGAGTCAGAATTCTTTATTGGTCTACAATAGGAAAAGGCGAAGATAATGCAGAGAGTACATAACTTGAATATTAGTAAGCTAAGCTAGCCAACTAAGTCATATCCCCAAAATGTACCTACTAAGAGAACTTTTCCAAATTAAATGTGAAGTAGAATATTGGTGTTAAGGGATTGGATATGAATACAGTCAGAAATGAACACATTCACATCCGCAAGCAAGCAGCATAAGAACTAAGACCATAAATTATGATAAGCTAAAGGTACAAAAATAAGTTAGCATACCGTTAGATTTCTTTGGAAGGTAGAGTAATTAATTCTTATCAAATTCAGAGACTAACAAGTCCAAAATATAACAATAGTACGTGTGTAAAAGTAAGCAACATGCCACAATTAACTTACATAGAACAGTCACTTCAAAAACCCATATTTAAAGGCTGCTCTTTACAACACAGATTTCATTATTCACCCAATTTCCTTTCTAAAACACTTGCCTGAGACTTTCTTGGCAGGATATTAACCACAAAAAAAGTTTAAATATTTCATTCTACAGCCTCTGAAGTTTATTACCATAAGTACCACTTTAATTGGAAAACAGAATTTATTTGCAGCTGCGTGCCTCATCAGCACAACTCCACTTAACTTTTACATGCTGCTTGATGGAGGATTGTAAACACAGAGTAAACAAAATCTGTTTGCCTTTAAGATCAGATTGAGTAGGTTCATTAATACTTTGTTTATAATAAAGTCTGAATAATACCACTTTCTTCAGAACAGCCAACCTCATGGTTAGCAGCCCAGTGCTTAACCCACTGTGCTATCAGGGCTCCTTTCATACATATAAAGGGGCTTCCAAGAGTTTGTGAAAAAAAACTCCATTATCTTTTCATTCTATTTAGAATAATATGTAAACGAAAGTCTTCACATTCCACATAAAAGCTTTTTAGCTGGTTCCCACCTCTCACTAGCAACAGTTGCCCTGATACTCCAGGCTGCTTTTATGTCTCTGTACCATTGGAGGAGAATATTGAAAGTGCCATGGGCTGCCAAAAGAACCAGTAGATCCGTGTTGGAAGAAGGGCAGCTAGAGTGCTCCTTGGAGGCCAGGATGGCCAAACTGCGTCTCTTATACTTCTGACATATTGTCAGAAGGGGACAATCGCTGGAGAAGGATATCATGTTTGGTAAGGTGGAGGGTCAGAGAAAAAGAGGAAGACTCCCAACGAGATGGATTGGCACAGTGGCAGCACCAATGGACTCAAGCATAGCAACAGCAGTGAGGTTGGCCCAGGATCGGGCAGTGTTTTGTTCTGCTGTGCATAGGGTCACTATGAGTCAGTACCAACTCGATAGCATCTAACAACAACAACCTTGGCATGTGCCCTGCCCAGGCCTCCCTTTTCTATAAATTTTCTGTTCCTCTTTCAAGTCTGTCTGTAAGGACTGTATCTTCTGTGAAGGCTTCCCCATTTATGTCAGTGGCTGCCGTCTCCATGCTACCTAACTACCCAGTGCATATTTCCACTGTTGCCCTTTCTATGTTATGAAGCTCTTTCACGTTTATCTGCTTATCTCTTAGACTGAAACTTCTGGAAGGTAGGATCTGTCATTTTCATTTTTGTATTTCCAGAACTTATCCTGAAGCAGGAAGTCGTATTTGAACAAATTTGTCTAGTTAAATTTTCCAGATTGCATTTTCCTGACCAAACCACATAGACTTTTTCAGAATTATGATACAAGTAAAAGACAATTTGTTGCTGTTGTTAAGTGATGTTGAGTCTGTTCCAAGTCCTATAGACTCTGTATAGGGTTTCCAAGGAGCGACTGGTGAGTCTGAACCGCTAACCCTGAAGTTCAAACTGACCTTGCAATTCAGTAGTTATCCTATGGTACCACAGCAAGATTCCAAGACGTAACTAAAGGGCATCAAAGAGAAAAACTCAATTCACCTTTACCCTAAACATTGTCATCAGTACTCCATGTATGAACCTCATGATATTTTGCTATATCTGGGCGTCACGTGGGCCGTTAATCCATGTCATTTACTTGTGACAGATCATCACAAAGACTACTCAGACTTCATTTTTAACAACAGCCATGCAATCACAGGTTTCACAAACAGATTTTGTAAAACATAAAACAACCATCTGTTGTTGTTGTTAAACACCACTGAGTTGGTTCCAACTCACAGCAACCCTGTGTAGTGTTTCCAAGGAGCAGCTGGTGGGTTTGAACTGCTAACTTTGTGGGTCACAGTCCAGTGTTGATCTTAAAAGTGTCACACCCAGGAGTTGTAAAACTGAAAAAATTTGTACTTACTACTACCTGGTGTTGCATTGAGAGTTAGTGCAAATGGACTGCAAGGTCGGTTTGAACCACAAGGTCTGTGATTCAAGCTCACAAGCCACTCCTAGGAAACCTATAAAGGGTCGCTATGAGTCAGAACCAACTCGACAGCACTTTAACAACAACAACAACATTCTCTATCCTCATTTTGCTTGGATCAACCATCAACATTCATGTAAGCAGGAGACAAGAAATCCAAGGACATATTATATTGGGCAAATTTGCTGCACAAGATCTCTATATAAAGTGTTCAAGAGCAAAGATGTCAGTTTGAGGACTAACCCAACCCAAACCATGGTATTTTCAGTAATCTCATATGAATGTGAAAGTTGGACAGTGAATAAAGATCCTAGAAGAATTGATGCATCTGAGTTACAGTGTTGGCGGAGAATATTAAAAGTACCATGGACTGTCAAATGAACAAACACATCTGTGTTGGAAGAAGTATGGCTAGAAATGTTCCTAAGAAGCCAGGATGCTCAGACTTCATCTCTCATGCTTCAAACAAACTATCAGAAGGGACCAGTCCCTGGAGAAGGGCATCATGTTTGGGAAAGTGGAGGACCAGAGACAAAGAGGAAAACCCCCAAATGAGGTGGATTGGTGCACTGGCAGCAGCAATGGATGCAAGAACTGCAATGATTGTGAGGTTAGTATAGGACCTGGTAGTGTTTATTCTGTTGTGTAAAGGTTGCTTTGAGTTTGTACCACCTCCATATCGCCTAACAACAACAAATATGTAAGTAAGTTTTTTGAAAAGTAAATTTAAAGAATAAATTATGATAGTGTACCTAAAGTGACTTTTCATATGCAGTTAGTCTAGGTAACTGAGAAGAAAAAAGCTTCTAAGCATGATTTTGAAAAAGCCTGGGATCATCAAGATTGCTGTTGTTGTGAAATGCCGTAGAGTAAATTCCAACTCATGGTGACCCTGTATAGGGTTTCCAAGGAATGGCTGGTGAATTTGAACCGCCAACTTCACAGTTCAAACAGACCTTGTGGTCCAGTGCATTATCCCACAGTGCCAAACCAGGACACCAAGATGGTGGTAGGTGGCAGTAGTGTGCCATAGACTCGGTTCTGACGCATAGTGACCCTGTATAGGGTTTCCAAGGATGTATATGGGAGCAGAAAGCCTCATCTGGCTCCTTAGGATACCCAGATAGGGAAATCTTAACCTTGAAATTAAAATTTCCTTCAAATGCTCTTAGGCTATGGTTTTCAATATTTTTGCAGTTTTAATACCTTAATGCACACTTTGGAGTCCCTGAGTGGTATAAACAGTTATTGCTTTCAACTGCAACAACTGAAAGGTTGGATGTTTTGAGTCCACCTGGAGGCATCTTGGAAGTAATGCCTGGATAAGCACGGTCAGTGGTTCAAACCCATCAGCTACTCCTTTGAAACCCTATACATTGTTGCCATGAGTTGGAACAGACTCAATGGCATTTACCAGGATCTACTTGTAAAAAAATTGCCACTGAAAACCCTATGGAGCACAGGTCTCCACACATGGGTCACCATGAATCAGAACCAACTTTAAGGCAACTGATTTTTAAATTAATTTTATCTAATTTGCATAGTGGTTATGCATAGGACTGCTAACCTTAGGGTCAGCAGTTCGAAACTACCAGCTGTTCTGTGGGAGAAAAGATGAGGCTTTCTGCTCCTGTAAAGATTTACAGCCTCGAAAACCCTGTACAGGGTTCACAACAATTTCAAAATATTATATACTATCAGCTACAAATTCTACAGATTAATTTTTTTGAGGCCTTCCTCTTTTTCCCTGACCCTATGAAGAAGATATATATACATATATGCTGGTGATTATGTACTGTGGAGTTGGTTCCAATTTTAACGAGTCTGTACAGGGTTTCCAATGCTGTACAACTTTATGGGAGCAGAAAGCTTCATCTTTCTCCCACAGAATTGCTGGTAGTTTCAAACTGCTGACCTTGAGGTGAGCAACCCGACTCATAACCAATACTCTGTACCAGAGATCATATATATATGTGTGTGTGTGTGTGTGTGTGTGTATAAATATATATGTGTATAAATGGAGTCCTGGTGTGGCACTGTGGGTTAATGTGCCAGACTGCAAAGCCGCTTGAACTGCAAGATAGGTGGTTCAAGCTCACCAGCTGCTCCTCGGAAATCCTATACAGGGTCACTATAGGTCAGAATCGACTCGACATCACTTCACAACAACAACATATGCATATATCCATGTTGTGACTCTGTATAGGATTTCCGAGGAGTGACTGGTGAGCTTGAACAGCCGACCTTGCAGTTCAAACGGCTTTGCAGTCTGGTGCATTAACCCACAGTGTCACACCAGGACACTCTCTCTCTCTCTCTCTCTCTCTCTCTCTCTCTC